TCTTATTCTACTGCTATTCTTGCCAGAAGTCGATCAACAATGATCTCCACAAGCAGGTACAAAAAATCTCTTCCGGAAGCCGCCTGCGTCAGCTCTCACCAGCTGTCGCGGCGTATAAAGCACATACGCACATGTTCTTCATGAACTAGTCACAGAGTAGATCTACCTTCAATACTTATCCATCTCTGTACGTACTCGAACCGTACTTCTGTCCGTGTTTGATATCACCAATGTCCGACTTCACTGTCCGACATGTTTGACTGTTCTTTTACCTATCAAGATATCAAGATCCCATTTCACCAACAGTGAACAGCGTCAGACATGACCACTTGTTGGCGAGGAGGAGTGGCATCCAAAGGTGGAGTTTGTTGGTAGGGATTGGACCACCCTGTGGTGGCGTCAGTTCCGTTTGCATCTGGACAGAAGGAGACGGGCGCGAATCGTGGGCCTTCGCACCTTTTGGGTTCTCTGGAGTAGATGCAGGGCGCTTCTTAGACTTGGACTGAGCTTTGGATATTTTCGACTCTCGTTCTAGTCGCTCGAATTCCTCCACAATGGGAGGAATGATTGCAGGGCCAGTCCAAGGATGGGCAAAGAATTCGGCTGCCGCTAGCCACATCCACGTCAATGGCTCGGCGCGTTGAACAATTAATGTTGGGTCGAACACAAGCGAGAATTCCCAAAAGCAAGGCAACTTTTCGTCAGTTTTGATAACGCGTTGGGCCGTTGCCAGATCAAACACAACTGTGGGGCACTGTTTGGCGAGACGAAGAAAGTACTCGCAAAGAGACCGGGAACCTTCGTCGTCGTCTGCGTCTTCAAGGTCTCCAAGTGAAAACAGATTCTGCATGCTGGACCGAAGCTGGGGCATCGAAACACCGAGTGATGGGTCGTACACCTTCAAGCCAGACAGGATTAACGCAGCGATTTTGTCGTAGGAATGAGCATCTGCTTGGTCCGTACTAGCTTCCGCCCACCATCCGGGGCATTTGGATATTGCCCAACCAGAGTGATCCGCGGTGCGAGAGGACCAAGTGATGAATGCTTCATTCCCAAAAACCTCCTTCCTCCAAGCCTTCTTGTAGAGCCGGTGAAACTTTGACACCTTGAGTTTCTTGGTGTAGGCAACGAGCGGCCGTCCTTGCACTGCGCCATCCTCGGCGGTTTTGGAAGGAGGGGGTTGCTTGCGTTGGCTCTTGGTGGTCGTGCGATTGGGATTATCCTTGGTGAGATCGATCGACGAAGGAGTGGTCAAGTCCGATCGAGCTTTGGCTGTGGGGCCATCCTGGCCTTGGGCCACTTCAGAAGGGAAGAGCGAGCGACCTTTCATTGCGCCATCCTCGGCGGTTGGTGAAGGGGTTCGCTTGCTGCTGCGCTTGGGAGTCGTGATGGCAGGGTTATCCTTTGTCAGAGCAATTGACGACTGAGTGGTCAAATTTGATCGGGTTTTTTCCTCGAGACCTCCCTGACCTTGGTCAGCTACAGTCATGATCGAATTCGGGTCCTTCTCCGGCAGGTTGGTGATGCTATCCTTCATGTTGGCTTAAATTTAATTCCTGTTTCAACAACAACAACTGTTTTCCTTTACATACAAAACGCGTAGGACTGGTACAGTTTTCTTTTGGAGAAGCGTGTGGAAGAATATTTTCTACCTTTTAGTTTTTGATTTTTGATTTCTGAATTTTATATGCAAGTGTTGTGACAAGGGAAAGTATTCGACTTGCTTTTGTTATTGCTGCTTTGAATGGTTTGAATGTTTTGAGTGCTGACGTCTCAGGTGCATATCTGAATGCCAAATGTGCTGAGAAAGTTTATTGTATTTTAGGAAAGGAGTTTGGAGAATATGCCAGGAAGAAAGCTATCCCGGTTAAGGCCGTTTACGGACTCAACAGTTCGGGATTTGCATGGAGGAGCCTCTGTGCAGACGTTTTGAAGGAACAATTGGAGTTCCAACCATGTCGCGGAGATATGGATGTTTGGCGTCGTCCTTGTCAACGCAAAGATGGTTTGAAGTATTATGAGTATATTTTAGTCTATACTGATGATGTCATTGCAATTTCGGAGAATCCAAAAGCTATTATGGACAAACTCAACAATTTCTTTGTTTTAAAACCTGATTCAATAAAAGAGCCAACCACGTATCTTGGTGCAACAATCTCAAAGCACAAGTTGGATGGTGATGATTATTTCACCTGGGCTATTGGATCTGAAGCATATCTACAAGAGTCATTACGAGTTGTCAAGAAGCGAATTGCGCCAATGCAACTGACTTTGAAGAAAAAGGTTTATTCAACTTTACCCACTGGATACAAGCCGGAACTTGATTCTACTCCTTTTGTCAATGATGATACTGCCATACTTTACATGCAGCTCATTGGTATTCTGCGCTGGCTTGTGGAACTTGGTCGTATTGATGTTGCCGCCGAAGTGTCTATGCTCTCATCTTACAATGCAATGCCTCGTGAAGGTCACTTTCATGCTGCCTTACATATTTTTGCCTATTTACAGAAGCATCCTGATCGTATACTTGTGATGGATTGTGGTTATGCTGATCATCTGAGACCATTAAAGAAAGCTGATTACTCACAGTTCTATGAATTCACTAAGGATGAACTCCCAAGTGACATGCCTACACCTCTTGGCAAAGCGGTAGAGTTTACTATGTTTGTTGATGCATCTCATGCTGCTAACGTTGTTACTCGTCAATCAAGAACAGGAGTATTGATCTTTGTTAACAAAGCTCCTATTATCTGGTATTCGAAAAAGCAGAACAGTGTCGAGACAAGCAGTTTTGGTTCTGAGTTTTCTGCTCTAAAGACAGGTGTTGAATTACTTGAGGGACTACGATTCAAGCTCAGAATGATGGGCATCCCAATCCAAGGTTATTGTCATACTTGTGTTGACAATATGTCTGTTGTCAAAAACTCAAGTGTTCCTGAATCTCAATTGAAAAAGAAATTGAATGCTGTCGCATATCACTATGTTTGCTCCAAATGCGCAATTGATATCCTACAAATTGAATGGATCATTTCCGCTGAGAACTTGGCCGATGTTTTAACCAAGATCCAACCTGGACCTGTTCGTGATCGTCTTATTGAACACATCATGTGGAAAGCAAAGCAAAATGGAAAACTTGCTCTGATTCATCCGTCGCCGGATATTGTCAGTTTTGGACAGTATTGGATGATACGTCCTCCCAAGAGGGGGTACGGTTGATATTAGCCCAATTCGGAGTACAAGGTTCTCTGATACATCAGTATCACCTTGAGGGGACCGTTAATTGGACCAGAGTGTCCGTCATTTGTACGTTAGATAGTTTAACCTAGAGATTTGCACACATCTTGTAAAATCCCCATGTTTGTCATCGTACTCGTTTTCGTCCCAAATCTCTCGTACCTCGCTACTCAATATAACGTTTTTGTCCCAAATCTCTCGTACCTCGCTACTCAATATAACGCAATATAACGTTTTCCAAGGCATGCCCGCCGTCCGCAGGTTTGCAATGCTCAACCAAACATTGCAGATCCAAAAGGTCAGGAACACCCGGCAAAACAATGACTTTAGAATTCCTCTTGGTTCCTTCTCGCGAGATGACTAATAAACGAAGAGGACATTTCTCATATATAAGAACATCTTGTCGTTCATAAATTGTTTAGAACCAAAAGGGACATTTTTTAAAATTCTTAGTCCGTAATAATTCATTTAAAGGCTCACCTGACATAATGATGGAAAAACTGCTTTTAGGTCGCGACTCAATACTTCTTAAAAATTACTCGTTCCGAATAAAAATTACTCGCTTTGCGATGTGAGTTATTTCTCGTTTTGGTGGCTTCTCATCGTTTTGGTGGCTTCTCATCGTTTTGGTGGCTTCTCATCGTTTCTGGAAGTCCCACAAAAATATCCCCCGCTCTGCTCAGTCCTACCCCCCATGATCTTCATCAGTGATGCTTTATCGCCAATCAAGTCTTGGCTTGAGATGTGATCAGCAATACCAGAAAGGGTTGGAGAGGAGATTGTGAGTGTCAACAATAATGCTCACAAAATTGAAAAGGAAGATTCCAACAAATCGCTTTTAAAACCATCTACCATGCCACCAATCTCCGCCACCGCCGTATCTTCTCTTGAGGAAGGAGCAGGTAAGAAACTTGCAGATTGGGAAATTCATTATCAGCTTCAAAGCATCGAGGAACACAATCTAGATCGTTGGAATTTTGTGCCTATTCAACTACAGAATACAAACAAGACGATATTTGGTGAAAAAGGAAGCATCACAAGAAAGCACTACAGTCGGGTCATCAACAACACTGTGAAACGGGTGGGTATTGAAACCTACATCAAATTGCTAAAGAAACACAAGATCGAGATGTCAGATACAACTTGTGCTGAACTCAAATCAAACGAGGAAAACCCTGTTGACGCAGACAACAGGATGGAGACGGAGGAGACCAAGGAGGACAAACCAACAATTGCCAGCTCCTGAACAGCGTACTGCAGTGTCTTCGACAATTCCAGAACAAGCAACTGCACTCAACTCCTCTTTTGACCTCCTTGTTTCTAATCTTTCAGGGATGAACATTTCTGCAAACTCCTCTATTGGCTCACCAAGTCAAATCTTCGGAACCACAAGCTATGGATCTCATAGTTTTTCCTCTCCTTGTGGCTTCGGTTCCCCACCAACAAGAACCAGGCCCTGCTACCCTCTTCCCGACTATCATCAAGATGGTTCCAAGAAATGGCCAAACGTCATCTATAATTTCCCAGAACATGGCCACCGCCACGGAAACGCTTTCATTTGCCAAGGTCTGATCGAACAAGACCATATCGAGTATCAAACCATCACTGTGAACTGCTCATGCCCCCCAGATGACTACAAGTTCTATGAACTCAAAATCGCAAATTCTTTTGAGGTGCCAGCTTGCTTCAAAAGCATCTCGGTTGTATTCTTTTGTTTCGAGAGCCAGTAGCCAACTTCACTGCTCGTCAGTACCAGAAGTTTGGTATTGCTAAATCCGATAATCCCGGAGCAAAGAAGACTGTTGTCAATGCCCTGAAGGCAGAGGCAGTGAATGCTGAGAGAGACTTGGACCTATTTTATAATTACTCGATCATCGTGTCTTCAATGGAACAACCAGTGTTCGCAAATAGAATCTTCTCCCCCAAGTTGGACTTTATAGAGTGGCATCCATAACAAGCCTGAAGATGGATGATACGCCTTTTGTGAGCTTTGAAATTGTTTGGGGGTGATATCCTTGTGCAGTCCTCTCGCAACGTCTTCCCTAAGAAGTTTCTTTGCATCTGTCATGCAAAATCTTAGCTCACCGCGGTCGTTGTGCGTCTTAATGTGAAAAAGACTCAAATCATGCGCCAGTGTCAGTTCGTCTTTGCACGATTGTACAACTGATTGTTGTTGTGATTCACGATGATCCTTTAGCTTTTCTTCGAATTGCCAGTAAGGGACTTCTAGGAATTCGGGCAGGTCTTTGTAGGTCGCGTTCCATGCATCCCGTGCGGGCAAGCGATCTTTGTCAATATTGAGAACCCCATCTGCAAGATCATAGATAATAATAATAACTGAGACATTAATCGTTAATATGCTACTCTGTGACTCTGTGGGCATTCGATTGCCGGTGAAATATTCGGCTGTAAAGGTCAAGTACTGTGAAGCGGCGAGTCAACAACAAGTTTGAACCATGTGAGGCATCTGTATTTTGAACAGAAGTTGCTCCTGTCTCCCAAAGGGGTAAAGTTTTCTCCCGCGACGTGGCGGGGTGAATTTGGGGCAAGTAAGGTCCCGCGAAAAGTTGGTCAGGGTCCAGGGGAGAAAATAGTCCGCAGACTGCGGCGTTGTGCTTTCATGGAGCGATGGAAATCTCTGCGTTCCTGGCAAAGCAACTTAAGCCACTCTTTCTTGTCTACCAATGACTTGCGAAGGACTCGTCAAGGCTTGTTAGCATCGGTTGAATTTCCTTAGGCAAGTCATTGGGACCCATATCAAACTGTGAGTGAATCCCCTCATTGACAGTACTGTGATGTTCACGTAATTGAACGTTATCATCCGAATGTTGAACGGAGTTCCGTTGCTCCCACATGTAGAAGCCGATCGAGATCAGCTGTTGTGAGAGGCGGGACGCCCAAAGAGAGACAGATCGTTGACATCTTATCTCGTCATAATGTTGTTGTTGGAGTGGAAGCCAAGACGAGGCAATGCGTCCCTCCAAAAGGCCTTGGGACCCAATCACCTGCTGAGCCATGAAGGCCGGCAGAACCGAAGAGGAGATGGTCCTTGGAGGAAATGAAGGAGGTGTGCGAACGCCTTGAAGAAGCTGTAGGATCGCTATTTTGATGGAAGGGCCCGTCAGTTGCAGGTCTAGCCACGCGGAGAAGGCTGCAGTGCAACGATCCCATTCAGCTGTTGCCAAAGCAGCGCGGCAGCGGGGAACGTGCAGATGATCCTCGAAGTCGCCGCAGCGTGGGCAAGCTGCTGATGTCTCCAGACCCCATAGAACTTTAAATTTGCCTGTGCCGCACATGCCCACACAATGTTTAGTAGACCACCTTTGTAGTCCTGCCGGAGGAGATCGCATGGCGCGACCCATTGTGTCGCAGCCAGGCAATCTCAGACTCGGCTTCAGCGGAGACAGTACCTTTGTCCCTCCAGCGCAAGCGTAGGGCCGGAAGAGTCACACAGTCTGCGTCCCTCCAAAAGGCCTTGGGACCCAATCACCTGCTGAGCCATGAAGGCCGGCCGAACCGAAGAGGAGATGGTCCTTGGAGGAAATGAAGGAGGTGTGCGAACGCCTTGAAGAAGCTGTAGGATCGCTATTTTGATGGAAGGGCCCGTCAGTTGCAGGTCTAGCCACGCGGAGAAGGCTGCAGTGCGACGATCCCATTCAGCTGTTGCCAAAGCAGCGCGGCAGCGGGGAACATGCAGATGATCCTCGAAGTCGCCG